TTGAGAAACACTGTATATGTGATTGGATGGATGGATGGATGGATGGATGGATGGATGGATGGATGGATGGTGGCCTTTATATCACTGTTCAGCAGAAAAGATGCCAAAGGAATAGTTAGTCATAAGGTGTTGATTAATTGAAGAAAAAGCTCATCATTGGAAAGGCTATATCCTTGCAACTCATAAGAATCAACATCAGAGATGGTTGTCAACTATGCAATTGGACAGTGAGTTAAATACCCAAATCTCGAAATATACAGATAGTCTTCATTTGCTAACCATTTGTTCAGTGACTATTTGAAGTTATTGAGACTTGTGACCAGCCCTTAAAGTTGTAGTCATCATGCAGTCGTCATGTGACATTTCACTCTATAACCACACTGCTTAGCAACAGAGCTGATGTTGTAAGTTGAGTACAGTTATGTGATATTTCACTTTACAACTACATTGTTTAGTGACAGAGTTGCTGGTCTCAGTCGCAGTTGGTATGAGGCAGTGTCTGTGCCTGCGTGTGTGTGTGCATGTGTGTGTGCGCGCACATACACACACACACACACACTCTATGTACAAACTGACACTTGAAATTTGTTTCATTATCTAGAGGTTACAGGTCTTACTTGAGATTTTTATTTCAATCACATAGGTCTGAATCTTAAAACTCCATTCACCTGCTCGTGCTTCCTCTTCATACTTAATATGTGCCTTTCTGCTAAGCCGGTGCTTTTGCTGATAGTAAAACTCATTTATGCAGGACGGACTAATTACCAACTATCATTTCTTTTTCTTTCTTCTGACCCTTGCAGTGAGCATGCCCACCAGTGAGACAGAATCTGTGAACACCGACAATGTGGCTGGAGGTGATATTGAAGGAGAAAACTGCGGCGCACGACTGGCGTGAGTTTGATTCTGTTTATATTATGTTGGTGTCCTCTTGATTACAAGAGGGAGCCTGGATGGAATTAAGGTTTAGTGGGAGTGAAATATCAGAACTATCTTTGTCTGAAAGTGTTTCTTCCAAAAAGAATGAAAGTAAATTTGGAGTGATTCACATTTTCTGTCAGATTTTTCCATAAATGCACCAGAAAAATTATTCCTATGACTTTGCACAAAAACAGTATTCCACTGCCCGCTATCCAGAATTTCTTAATTTTAAAAAAACTGCCATTCATATTCATAGAAAGTGATATTAAGAAGAATTTCTCAAGACAGATTCCTTGGCCAAGCCACACATTTGAAAGGCTCCTTTCAGAAATTTCAGACTGCATAGAGCAAATTAAAGGGACAGTAAAAATTAATCCATTTTTCTCCCTTAAGAATAAGAATACATCCGATCCTCAACTTACAATAGTTCATTTAGTGACCATTCAAAATTACAACACTGTAAAAAGTGACTTATGACCATTTTTCACACTTACGACCATTGCAGCCTCCCTATGGTCACGTGATCAAAATTTGGCCGCTTGGCAACTGACTCATATTTATGGCGGTCGCAGTGTCCTGGGCTCATGTGATCACATTTTTTTAAACTTCTGATAAGCAAAGTCAAGGGAGAAGCCAGATTCACTTAACAACTATATTACTAATTTAACAACTGCAGCAATTCACTTAACAACAGTGGCAAGAAAGGTCATAAAATGGGGCAAAATTCACTTAAATGTCTCACTTAGCAACAGAAATATTGGGCTCAATTGTCGTAAGTCAGGGACTACCTGTATCTTCCAGAGAATTATTTTTAAAATGTGTGAACGCTAGGAGAAACATAAAAATATATGGAGATACAGAGAGCATAAAATGTCTTTGGTGAAGCATACTTTGTCCCAGATTAAGATTCCTTGGGAATACATTATGTTTCACGTTAAATGTTCACTATCCTCAGCAACTTGACACAAAGTACAAGCTTTATCCTTTATTTCTTATAAAAACATGACAGTAAGTATAGTTTAGATACATATATCACATATATCACAAGACAAACACAGACTTCAGAGAGTAATTAGGACTGCAGAAAAAACAATGGCTACCAACCTGCCTTCAGTCAAGGACCTGTATAATGCTTGAATCAAAAAGAGGGCTGTGAAAATATTTACAGACCCCTCACTTCCTGGACATAAACTGTTTCAACTTCTTCCCTCAAAACGACGCTATAGAGCACTGCACATCAGAATAACTAGACACAAAGACAGTTTTTCCCCGAATGCCATCACTCTGCTAAACAAATAATACCCTCAAAACTGTCCAACTATTTACAAAGTCTGGATTACTATTGATCTTCTCATCACTCCTTATCACCCATCCCTTCCCACTTGTGACTGTATGACTGTAACTTTGTTGCTTGTATCCTTATGATCTATATTGACTGTTTTCTAGTATGATTGCTTATTGTACCCTATGACTATTATTAATTGTTGTATCTTATGATTCTTGACTCTTGACAATGTATCTTTTCTTTTATGTATACAGAGAGCATTTGCACCAATACACATTCCTTGTGCGTCCAATCACACTTGGCCAATAAAGAATTCTATTCTATTCTATTCCTTTAACAAAAAAAATTATGTTCAATGCTAGCATAGCACAACCTTGAGCATTTCTCCAAGTTAGAAGTGCATAAGTGGCCATCTCCTGGTTTAGGTCAGAGTTCTGCTTGTACCAAAACAATTGTAATAAAATCAGAGTTTGCTGTGATGCCTCTGTTTGCTGTGGTGCCTCTGTTTAATGCTACTTCAGAGTGTTTAGAAAAACTCAGGCACTCACAGTGATCATACCTGCACTTCTTGTTGTTCCTTAATTACTTCATAATGAGCAGTTTTACATGATCTCTTCAGGTGTTGAAAACCCAGGTGAAAGGGAGGCACAGATCCTATGATCTCATCTCAGCCTCTCTTTCTTGAATATGCACAGAACTGGTTCATGGGTTTCTCACTGTGCACTCCATCCTTGGAGTGAGAACCAGGATTGGCTTGGTGGGAAGGGGGTTGAATGAGTGGCGAATTGGCTGTAGCGAGTTATCCCATTCCACAGCAGGGGAGGGATGTCCTTGGATACGAAGTGATATAAGTGTGTTGATTCCCTTCTTATGGGTAAGAACTGGAGGAGGAACTCACAAGGTTGAATGAGGAAGGATGCCCCTACCTGCTGGTGGGAGGAGCAGGGGAGGGGTGCCTTTGCATGTTGTATATGTGAGAGTGTGGTAGTGTAGTGGGGAGGTGGTTACAGGGTACCCTGTTGATGCTGAGAGCTGTTAGACTAAAGTTCCTTGGTGTGTGGATCCACAAAAATGTGGATTTTTGTATTTTTTAATATCTGTTGTTTTTATATCTATTGTTGTCTCTGCCTGTCATATGCCTTTCAATAAAATTTGTTACCTTGAAAAGAATCAATCATGTTCTTTTGGACACATCTTTTTAACAGCTTTCAAATAGAAATAAATTTTTACATAGAAATAGTAACTTGGAATAACTGCAGAAGATTGTCTGAAAAAACAATAATTGAGAAAGTGACAAAGATCATCTTGTAAAATAACTAGGAAGAAAGAGTTTATATGCAAGAACATAAACCATGGGAACAGAATTGCATTTTGAAGCCAAAGGCCTGTAATCTCTTCCCAAATGAGATAAAAACTAGCTTACATAAATGTTTTTCATCATGATTCAAAATAGTATTTTTCAGTGACCCAGAGGTTTGTAAGAAAGCAAGATTTTCCCATGCACAGATCTATGCAGTGTCTAAAGAGGCATTTGCCTTATACAATCCCTTGATTATTACAGTATATATGAACTGGACCACAATTCTGGAGTAGTGCTATGTTAGGGGTTATTTTCCCATCCCTGGAATTAGACTGATACAACATTCAAATCAATCTAATTAATTCATTTGTTCTACAGCATTTAAATTATGTGCAGTCTACTATCCTACAGAGATGCTCAGCTATGTCCTTTGTTGAAATCTTGTTTGAGAATAATATATAAATGCAGTTTCAGAACTATAAAAAAAATGCTCCCCAAGCTCAGCTTGCTTAGTTCTTCTGCACTGACAGTTTGTCAGGAATTGTAGTTTGCAAAGCTGTCTTTCTAATGTGGGAAACTTTGCACTCCCCAGGAGTGGGGAGGGAATGGAGATTTTGCAGTATCCTTCCCCTGCCATGCCCACCAAGCCACACCACGCCCACCAAGCCACACCCATAGAACCGGTAGTAAAAAAAATTGTATCCCACCACTGCCATAGTATGTCCTGAAAATCTTATCAATAATGGAACTGCTCCATCAGAAGTAATCACCAAGCTTTCAGCATATTTTTCTAGACAATTTATTTGGTGCTTTTGTATCTGGTGGAAGAAGTCCTACTGAGACTTCCTTTGAACACCAGAGCCTGAAGCTGGCAATAGACAACTTTAAAGCACAACTTGTATTGTCAAGCTTTCTTTTTGATCAAAGAAAGTATTTTGATTCTTTGGATCCCATTTGATTTTCAAATCAAAGTTTGCTTCTGCCACATGCACCTGATCTGAAAAAGGTAGCAGTGGAGTCTATTTATAAACCATGCTGTTCGAGCATTGTTTGGGGAAATAAAACTCTAAGGCTGTATTCGATCCAAAATCTAAAATTATTTAAAAGCACAACTGCTTTTCGAAGACTAAACCATTTGGAGGAAATATTGACAATGTTAAGATGAGCCTTCTCAGTTTTGTATGTAAAAAGACACAAATAAATTGAAATTGAAGAAAGTCACATCAATTTATTTTATAGGATAGACTTAATTAACTTTCGTAAATGAATGTTCTTGACATTGGCTGGATTATACCTTAATTTGGGAAATAATCAATGTAAACTAAATGGAATTATATTCATGGTGAGCAAATCCTTGGCTTCTGAAATAAATGCGCTTTAATGTTTTAGTGTGAAAAGGACTCCTGACTAATTCTGTTTTGTTATTTAACATGATTGATTGCATTTAACTTTATGGATCTCAGACTATCATTTGCTGGATTTGGAGGGACAATTAATGAGAAATTAGTTCTCAGATTTCATCTTCTTATAGGGAGATGAACAACAGCACTGGCTTTTATGAAATATTCAATATACTGTAGCTTTGGTCCAGTTATTTTATTTTAATATTTTAATTCTGGTATCCAAGCATTCATAGCATGTACTCACAAGTCCCCACATTATTTTAATAATTAAGTAAAAGTAGCTAAAGTGCTCAACATCTCGCTGCATAACCAAGATTTCTGCAATTTTGTGTGAAATTTTACAAAACGTCATCCTTTAAAAAGGACATTTATTTTCTTAACTAATTTTTTAAATTAATGATAATGAACATAATAGTGCAGTGCTGCCTCCTGGCATAAAATATTGCTAATCCCTGCTATTCAGTATAAAAATAGTTCTTCAAGGACTTTCAGAGGCCAAAGGTCCTCGGTTACAAATTGACAAGCCCCTTTTGAAAGAAACCATAATTTGAGATGCATTGGGACTTTTTCGGATTCTCCAATACATCATGTCCTTTAACTCTTCCTCACCCCTTTTGGGCCTCTAACCAAACCTGTGATGGGAAACATATTATGGGTTGTTCTCATAACCATAGAATTATTAGCATGATAATACTCCGTGTGTTTGCTTACTTTTTAGTCAAACATGAAGACCCCAGAGATGAACAGATAAACAGGACTAGGACTAGACAAAACTTTGGATTCAATCTGTAGTCTCCTAGTCCCAGGAAAAGATGTTTCTAGTATGCCCAAACACATCAAAAGCAGTTATTTCTAAAGGGGTGCACAGAAGAGTGGTATTCAGCAGCTTCTGACTAGTTCTGGAGAACCGGTAGTGGAAATTTTGAGTAGTTCAGAGAACTGGTAGTGGAAATTTTGAGTAATTCAGAATACCACCTCTGTGTGG